AGGCATTAATTCAATTCATATTATGAGAGGACAGTTCGTACAGTATTGTTAGGCCAATTTCTGGCAAATAAAATCATGTCACGTGAAAATTCATTGCAGAAATACAGAGTTTCAAAGCAAAGAAGACCATGTCCACGGGTGAATTTCAATCAGACATGTCCGTTCAATCATTCGGAGGACTCCTGATTTGTCACATAACGTACAAAAGGCAAATTACCTTTTACTCTGCATTGTTGGCGCAAACGCAAACAAACCAATCTTTTACACCTGGACAGTTTACAACAGTACTTTGCAGGCAGGAGTGCAACATAAGTTTCATCTGCACTGCTACATTTCTTACCCCTTGGGAGTGTACTGTAATCTCAAGATTAAAACTGTTATGTGATGGATGCGGTGGGCAGAATAAGAACAAGATACTTATTCACACATTAATTAACATTTAGGAACTTTTGAGAAACAAAATTGAAGAAATTGTGATTACCTACAGGAGAACATATTTTTCTTCTAGATGCAAGGTTGTTCGGCAGAGAGAAGTTGCTTATAAAGCACCCTACCATAGCAATGAAAAATTAGTACTATAGTTTTATCGAGATTATTGGTGAAGTATGTAGACTAGGTGAATATTGATCTCTAATTTATGCTATCCCAATGCTTTAAAAACATTGAGAACACTGAAGTTTATCCCAACGCTTTGAAAACATGGAGATGATATCTGTAAAAGTTAAAACAGCACATTTGAGATTTGAAAGTGACTTTGAAATATACCAAAGTCTTCAGAAAAAGGGTTGGCTATCTGCAAAATCTTACTCAATTCCTGTAGGAACACTACCATTTGATGATGAATGTTTGACATTTAAGGTGGACATATATGGATTTCATTAACATCTCAAGTGATGCAAAACCAACTACGCATGCGCAGATCGATAGTGCTTTCCATCGTTTTAACGTTCGAAGATTCAAATACTCCCTATTGTCACCGGAGTGAACCTACTCTGTTCGTTTTGAATTGATGCAGTTGCGTGAACAATGCGGATTACAGCGCGGATAAGTTCTGAAATGTCTAAAACCTCCCAGTGGTCACAACGTTGTTTCGGTTTTCGGCAAAACTGTCCGTTGGAAAATGGTAAAAACGATAAGACACCATTAGCGACATAATTCTTTTCTTAGGCAAAATAGATAGCCCTGCCTGTAAGGCGAAAAAATAAGAAATGAATTATTTTTAATTTTAATATAAATATAATGGATTGTGGTTCACGGCTACAATGATTCACTATGTACGTACAACTAGAAAGGAACTATTACTAAACTGTAAAGCTAGAAGGGTTATTTGAATATATCCTTTACGTGCTTCTTTGACTTTGTATAGAAAGGCGACTTCATATTGAAGCATCAAAAATTAGATTATATTTTTTTATTGAGAAATTAAGCTTCCGAAGAATTCCAGAAAATGGGAAAGGGATACATTGTATTTAAAGTTGTAAGAAGATACGAGGCACGTTAAAGTTCACAACATAAATTCTTTTTTGAACTTACAGTAAATGGAATTGTGTCATTTAGTTAAAGTTCTTCATATTCAGTTTACTGAAACTACAAATTCAATACAAGAAGAAAATTTGTTGCATTCGGATGAAACCTAAACGTGTAGAAATACTTGGGAATCCTAAAACAATGGCTGCGAAATCCTGAACGTGTACTTCCCAGAGACAATTTTAAAACGAAAATATTCTCCCGATGCTTTTGCCTTGATAGAAAAATTCCAGAACAGATATCGTATAATGAAATCGGGCAGCATACCTGTTATCATCGAAATTGTAGTAGTCTTGCCTGCTCCGTTGTGTCCAAGAAGCACAGTGATCTGGCCCTCATACATGTTCAGGCTCAAATTGTTCACCGCCAATTTGTTTCCTGGGAACACCTGGAAAGGTTAGGTTCATTAGACTTAGCCCCTTTTGATTCAAATATATTAATACTTAATTTGATTTTTACTTTCTCACCCATACGAAGGGACTTTGAAAGTGTGAAAGTTATGTAATTGTACGCCGGAAAACTACGAATGTTTGACAGAAAACTCTTATTGCCGGGCCTTGGTAACAAAAGAGTGGATAAATCCTATTGCTAAATACAGAAAACATTCCTCTAACACGAGTTGTATTAAGAATTCTTGTTCTGTGGGTTCTTAATGCAGGGAAACTGTTGACGGCAAAATGTCCATCCTTCCGTGGTGAACCGTTCAGCGGCTAAATCGAGCAGCCGATTTTCTTCAAAATTGATATTCCCAAATCGATTTCAATGAAATCGACGTTTTGGGAGTTTCAAACGAATACTTTGATTTTTGGGGTACTTAACATGAAAACACGGAAACATTTCGAAAATTTTCTCATATATGGCACCGAATGTTTTGATCGAACTTTGTCTTTGGATAGGATAAAGGGGGCTTAAAAGAATCGGACAAGTTTCATGTTCGTTCAAATTCCCAATTTTTCGAAAATTGCAATTTATTGAGGGAGTCTTCTTACATTTATAATATTGAAGATGGAGATTTGTTTCCTCTATGAAATCTGTTTCTTAAAAACTTATCTTTAAATGAGAGTATGTTCAATTTTTCGCAAATATGAATGCTTTCCTGTTAGGAATTACTTTTCTAATCTCTTTAGTCTCGACAATGTTTTCCCTAAGGCATTATTCACTTCCCAGCTGACATCTTTTGCCCTCCAAAGGAACTTTTTTTACAATTTCTGGTGCCCTAACGGTAAAACTGAAACATGACTTTAAGAATATTATAGAAGTGTAAAACCTGGGCCTATCTGGATGGCTGAAGTGGTGAATAGCGTATGCAAAATCAGCGCTTCGATTCGAAGGGTCACAGGTTCTAGTCCCGCCTCGCTCGGGCTTCATTGTCCTTTGTCTCTCCCATCACGTGTTGTCGCGGAGGGCCTCGCGTTCTGCTGGCTCCCAGGTGAGCGAAGCCCGCAAACGTGTTGTGTCTAGAATCCATGTTTTGGCATTCCAAAGGAAAAATGTGTCGTCTGCCTGCGGTTCCCTGATTGATCCGTACAAACGGTTTTGGTAGGCTGGAACTGGAGGCATTTTTTTTTCGAACTGATATATTGATTATGGAGGGCTTTTATCATTAAGCAGACGTTTTTATGTTTCTCCCCGAATTGGACGCAGCACTTTTTTTTGGCATAGTGGTATGAGTATAGGGAAGCTAACTCTGAGGATCTGAGTTACGAATTCGAATTTACCTTTTAGATTATTTTCCATTTTCGAAAATAAAGAGTGTGCCGAAAATAAGAGCAGCACCTCTTTTTTATGGTTCTTTGTTACATACGTGAACAATCCATTTCTTTGTTACCTGCGCTTGACAATAAGAGATGTTCTGTTGAAAATTCGCTATTCCAGCAGGCATCATTACAGTACTTTCTCCATGCTGCGTAAGCAGTGCCGAGAAAGTAAACTAGTAATGCTAAACGACGTTTGCTTACAACAGCACAAATTTATACTAGGGGGAGCCATCCTACTCGGCAGTTCAATTAGAAAACTTCGTAGAGTATTTTAAGACTAAAAAACACGGATTCTATCTCCTTCAACGACATTGCACCTACCCCACAGACTATTCAGCTCTTCAGTAAAGCATCTCCACCCCTATACTCACCCGTTGGCCCGCGGAGCTAGCGGAATACAGAACCCCAGCCTATAGCACCCTATAGCGTGGAAATGCGCCAAATCCGCGATCAGCACAGGCCATAGAAATCTATTCCTCACGTGAACGCACTAAGCAGAGCTCCGTCACTGAACATCACTTGCATGTACTAGATCAGTTTCAACAGCCAAGGATCTTGGCTACAATCTCGAAATTCAACAAGTGTGTAGAAAGTCGATAGAAAGGTACAATTTTGCAGGTAGATTAAGGAAAGTTATTTTTACGATAAATCTCATAACGCAAAAGAAAAAAAGCTTATTTCTGCAAACCCCATCCTTTAATACCCTATATCCTGGAAATGTGTCAAATCTACGTTTTAGCCGGATATACTGTCATTTTCAAAAAATGTACAGTTGATTCGCTGAAGTTTTGATTGGCTGCATTTGTTTGCAGACTTACGAAGTTACGTAATGCGCTGCCTCACTTGCATGAAACGAACATTTAAAGTAAAAAATTTCCAGTGAAGACATCAGAATTTAGTTCGTCCCATCCAAATATTAACCCTAGATTTGATGAGATCTGTCAACTCTCTCGCTTCCCAAGAACAGAATTGTAGTTCAATCACACACTGCGAGTTTCCCAGTAATTATAGGCTGTAGCTATCCTGGAAGCAAAAGACGTAAGGAAACGGGTTCTGATACAGAAGAGGATTTCCGTTACGGCATACCTCTCACCTTTGCTTCTTTCTACGTTCCTCTTCACCACTCTACTTCCTCTACTTTCATACTGTACTTACTGCACGTCCCTTCGCAGAAATCAATCTCTGGTTGACGACTCTGTTCAGCGTGTGGTAACGACGATGCCCAAGCCCTGCACTGACGTCGTAAAGAAGCCACTGGGATGCGAACCAACACCCATTATTCCCACCTCCTCCCGATACCTGACACCTTTTTCAACCCTCATCCCAACATTTGTTTGGAGGGAGAAAACGGATAGTACACTGTGGTCCTGACCAATGAAGTGACAACATCAACCACCGTAACATCCAACCTACACTAGTACTTTCTGAAGGTCATGACTCCCCTCCCAACACCTACCACCCACGTGAAATCATCGGTCGGACACACAGGCGATCGTCACCAAAACCCAGAAAATTCCCCAAGTCACCAACTAGGTCTCTCGCTTCGTCCAACGTCGATGTGTCTCTGCTTCCTAGCTCGTTTGGCGACGTCACACGTGCAGCTGTTAAAAAGAGGAACACCGCCACAATCAGCACGAGGTTACTGCATCTCAGGCTTAACAGCGCTCATAACTAACGCTCTTTGTTACAGGCCATTAACAATTCAGGCGCTTTTCACTTATACCATCAGCTCGGGTCCTGAGGCACCCACTGGCGTACCCACGACTGGTAATTACATCGACGCTTAAAGATGTGCAGGGCACCACAAGCCGCGTATTACAGCCATATGTGGTCTTATTTCTCTCATCCCTCTTTCTTCAGTTTCTCTCTCTCTCTCAACCTCTCACCTTTGCTTATTTCTACGTTCCTCTTCACCAGTCTACTTCCTCTACTTTCATACTGTACTTACTGCACGTCCCCTCGCAGAAATCAATCTCTGGCTGACGACTATGTTCAGCGTGTGGTAACGACGATGCCCAAGCCCTGCACTGACGCAACCCGCCTGGCCAGACAGCATGGCGACTCACTCGGTCCAAAAGAGGCTGCCAACGCTACGTGCCGCGGGTCGCACGAGAGGCGATACAACACTTCTTCGGCGCGCGAGGCGTACTTTAGACCTTCGTCGTACGCGTGTTTCAAGTACGTGAGTCACATTACTTTCTCCGCTCTAAAAATAATGCACGCTCAGTTCTTGTTGACTTGTACTTGGCAACTTATGGTGTTCCTTTCATTGGGGCCGGTCCCCTAATGTTAAAAACATCATGTTTCTCATTTGAACTTAGTAGTTTCTAATGTCACTCTGGGCCTGGCACAAATTCGTTCACAAATCGGCCCATTCAGTATCTTGCACGAAACTTTGTTAGCAAAATTAAATGTCCCGGACTCCCTAAATATTCGTACTATTGTCATCGTTTAGAACACGCTCAAGAACACTTGCCTAACTTGTAGACTCCCGCACGAATGGTCCATCGTTGCGCCTCTAGGAGACTTGCACTTGTTCGCCGGACTACTGTAACTTGGAGACTTGGAGACGCGCCATGTCTCAGACCTACATGTATTTGCAAGTTTGCTACAGGAATTTGAGGGCAAATCCGAACACCAATTTATCATCTTCTGCAAGTACTTAATCTCTCCTACTTTTCCCACCCTGAAATGCAACGGCAAGATATTATCACGGCAGTCTGGAGATTTTCAGTAACTCCACCGATACCATAATTCCATTAAGCGTAATCAGAATTCCGTGACATCGAAATCGTATCAACTATTACCCCTCATGTTTCTACTTACATGACATAACAAATAAATCTATCTGAGCTCCAAAGAAGAGTTCAAAATAATCATGGGTATCAAAATTGCGAAAACTGGACGTTTCTTCCCTACGTTTTACCGATCCCTCGCTTCCAAGTGAAATAGATTTTATTTCATTTCACCTTCGTAATGCCCCTGCAATATACATCATCGCTCAAACGCTAGTTCTAGGGACAAGAGTAGGGCCACGAGTTTCCATTCTCCTCATTCCTCTCAAAAACGTCACCATCTTTGTGTATCGCGCTCAACCAGTCTTCGTACCATTAATCTAGGATCCTGGTTCTTTCAAACCGTTTTGATTGCAGCTGCACTGAACGTCATGGTGTCCTCTATTCAACATATCCCCAGATTGTCGGCCCATTCAACAGATTTGTCTCATTGTAGCTTTCTTGACTATTTCTCAGTATATACACAGCGATTTCTAACACGTCGTGCCTTCCTTTGATGTCTTCTTGCATGGTCAGACAGCAGCTTCCAGGCTCTTATACTTCTCATGCAACTCCAGTAACTGTACCTAAAACCGAGTCCATTTTGTTCTCCGCTCTAGGAATTTTTACCTTACCACTCCTGTGTTTAGTAACAGGCGAACATTGGTCTCTACCACCACCTCCAGCCACTATTCATGTCACTGTTTTGGTTCCTGCTAATCCCGTGGTTGAGGCCCTCATTTAATCTTTCGGAGTTTCACCACAACCATGTTGACATTGCAAATTCGTCCACAGAGTTTCACGACCTTTTTCAGTGACTATATTGTCTGGATACCCATAGGGTGGTTTTGCTCCCCCATCTGATATAATACCTTCTCCAGTAGATAGGACATCATCAAATGAGCCTACTGAAGATTTTCGTATTTTCTACTTCCCCGATCGTTAACTTTGCCATCGTAATCCATCTGGGCACAACGAAAACACAATGGACGTCCAAGCATCAACATCCGTCGCAAAACCCGTCATCTGACACGTCAAAAGCATTCGTAATACTTCCCAGCGTGAGACTGACCCTATGAACACGGAACTATTGACGCTTTTTAAGTCGTTGTATGTGTTCTATTTAGGGGCACAAAAGATAACGCACAATCCACCCGTTCTGCAGCCCAATTTGTCGCCTTATTAGCTAGCGTTAAGGGCGGAATCGTACCTTGGAGACGGCGTTGATGCGGACGCCGGCCCTGAGGCCCGTGGGCTCGTCCTCCACGTTCCGCTGTCCGCAGCGTGAGGGAGCGGCTTCACCACCGTCTCACCCGGCGGCTTCGGCCCGCCAGAATGACTTCTGCACACCCCGCACGCGCGGTCTCCCCACCACCACTGCCATCCCAAGACCGCCCTACTATCCCTCGTCTTTTTCCCGCCGGGAGGAAGTCTTAGTGCTCTCGACGCGCGGCTGCAATTAAATTAGTTTTTGTTCCCACTCCCAGCTTGTCCCAGCCGCGACAAGCTCTAAGCTTCATCAAGTCTCCCTCTAGTGTGGCGGTATAGGGCTAATAAGTTTGTGGATTCCCTCGAAAGTTAATCGATTCTAAAATCGTACCACGGCAAGCTAGTTCGCTGCCCAGAAGCCGTTCTAGAGGCTACAGGAAGAATAATGTTTTAATGTTGAAGTTCCTCGTCATCAATGACTAACTAATCTAGCCTGTCTCGGAAATAATGCCTTGTCAGGACTATCTCATCTCAGCTGACTTGTTTTCTATTCGATAATTGCTATTTCTGGCAACGTGGTCGGGCGACTTAAACTGTGTCGCTATGATGACAAAGTTCATTTCAGACGGCATGATGACAAAGTGTATTGAATTTCAGAAGTTTAACTAAAACACGTCCCCCGTTTACATTTTTTACACTTCTGTTGAAATTGTGTGGTGTTATTCTAGGGTCAATGACCATTCGGACAATTCACACTCTAGTTGAGGTAAACGTTTCAAACGTTTGTTTGAAAACTGCCGCATCATTGAGGGAGAAGGAGCAACGGAAAAAAAGCTCTGAAACTCGTAATAGAAAGAGAAATCAAGGTTTACGATGATATTACGTTCATCGTCATCGAAGGCATGTCATTTAGCCTGTTTCGCCAACGACGTGTAGTGCTATCGCCCTATTTTTTTCCTTTCATCCGAAAGTGAAAATAAAAAGTGAAAAGAGTTTTGATAAAAGGTAATTTTCAGAAACAGTGATTGTGTTAGTGTATTTTTCCAATTTTAACGTCTTATTTTTACTACTGCTTCAAATTCGATGAGCGTATTTGCGTTTTTATTCATTATACATTTGGAAAGAAAGGACAATCCCCTTCGTCCAATTGACAAGTGCAGCTTGATCAATAGAAATGCTGAATGTATAAAACGTAAAGAAGCAGAAATGGCATACCAGGCAGAGGAAGTTCCATGGCTTGGCCACCCCGTACTCCCCTGGGCGAATGGCCTCGACATAGAGCGCGATGAGCATATATACCAAGCAATTGAAGAGGAGAAAGAGCCAAACAGTCCCCATGGCCACTGGGTACTCCGTCGTTGGATGCGTCCATATATTTGTCCACTGCTGGCCAACTTCTGTCGCGCATATGAAAAATACATAAAAGAATTTATTAGTAATTACTAGGGGGCGGATTTTAATGGAATGTCACCTTTTTTTTCTTTTTGCTTTAGAACAATTCCGTTCAGAAGTGAGATTTATTTTATGCTTTGCCAAACGAAATGACGCATTTTATGTCATTTCTTACCTTTTGACATCATTTTTTATACATTTTCACTGATTTCATCGATTTTAATATTATTTCAATGGTACTTTCATTAAACAATATTTACGAGGTGCAACAAATGTTCACTACAGACTTCTTGAGTATCCTATTCTATTTCTTCGGTCATATATTGCAATATCAGCAGTTGTGTAATCTAAGATTCCTGTGACGACTGTCGGCGACATTGTCAGTTCGGCCGATTTTGTGATAAATAAAAAACAGAGATTTTCTTTTAAAGAACAGTGCAAAACAAAGGTTTGCAGGCCGACTTCACTGAAAAAAAATAAGCCTCGATTACATCAGTAACATATACAACAGCTTGTGTTGTAGGAATGTACAACGTAAAGACGTACGAATCACTTTCACAGGGTTTAAATCTGCATTCTCTTAAGATATCACATAACTTTCCCAATCAACACCTGCCGGCTTCCACTCAAGACTTTACGCAGTTTCAGCACCGTATCTTCGAGAACATTTATGCCATCCATTATCTTCATGAATACATTCCGTTCATCTTCCCCCGTTTAAGTAGGTAGTCTCCACATCAATGTGGTTTAGGACGAATTTCTTCCTAGCAACAATACTTGACAACGTTTTAATGTATCCATCCACGTATCAGGACTAAATACAGAATCGTAGTCCAAGACGTGAGTCTGTCGCGAACCATCCACCACAAGTAGCGCTTTAAACTCAACTTCACCACTTGCCACTTTTCTCTTGAACAATAATTTATTTTGTTATTCAATAGTGTGCGATCACCTAACACGGAAGTATCCACTCCTTCCCATGTGATGTTTCTTTTCAAGCGATCTAATTCACACCTTTAAGACAAGAAAAATTGAAATTTCCGTAGATTTTGATTTTCTAAAACCGTGTTGAGAGTCTGAAAACGCATTGTTTATCCTGAGAAATGTTTCCATTCACGTATTATTGTCTCTAATATTTTGGAGAAAACAGAGAAATTGGCCGGTTATTTTAAATTTCATGGTTGTTCCGTTTCTTAAAAATTACTTTAGCAGCTTACTTTTTGCAGTTTTGAAAATATCTGGAAATATTCCTGTGCATAAAGAAGAATTGAAAATGTTAGTTATGGGGTGTATAAAAGCAGGCGCACAAATTTTTAATCTGGGAATTCATCTAAACGAGATGAATATTTATTTTGTAGTTTATGAACTATTCTCAGGATTTCGTTAAAAGTAATGTCGGAAACAATGATCGTGTCGAAAATTTTTCGCCAAGTAAAAATTGTTGAAATTTGTGGTTTTAGTCCCTTTGTGATATCAACCGCAATTCTAGAAAAGTGTTGGTTGAAGAGATTTTCAAATTTTTGTGGATTACTTGCTTCTCCTTTAAAACATCTAATATCTACTAAGTAACGACATGATGTGGTTGTATTTTTTCGATATTCCGCTCTGCTTTAGTTTTATTATTGGCGTTCAAAATATACTGATTATTTTTCATTACTTTTGCCTGAACTATTACTTTCCTTAAATTTATTTTGTATTCTTGGAAGTAGACACGGAAATAGAAGGGATAAACCGAGTGATACTTTTTGATGTTTAGAAATACAGTAAAGTGTACGTTTGTTTTTAAACGATTCTTTGTGTACTCCAAGAATTACCTTTCCGTGAAATATTTTTTTTTCTTTTTAGGGGGAAAACCTACGGTAAAGTGAAATGAAAGTTTTGAGAAAAATAGATTATATTTTTCATTTGTGTCAACAGCGTTATAAACTGTGTCCCACGATTCCTTCAGCAAGTAGCCCGTTAATAATTATGATAACACTCGTGAATGCTCTGCACATGCGTGTATTATTTGAGTCGGTGATCACGTTATTAGTATTTGTAAGAATTTGTGCATCGTGGCAAGTGTAACAAAGATTAGTAGTTTTTTCTCTTTATATTTAGTTGCATTAACGACTAAGGTTATTAACGACTACATTTTTATAACAGCTGTTTACAGACAATTATGGCTTCATCCCTCTGTACATTAACATAAGTATCGTAAAGTATAGGTCATAACATAATACAGTATCACATATTTATCTTACATACCATCAACATTCAGTATCATCAGGACAGGGTCCTATCTATTCAAGGGTTACATATTATTACATTTACATAAGCATATTCACATATAGATTATAACGTTCTATTATTTATCTTATATACTCGTAACAATCATACAGTATCATCGGGATAGTATAACACATCAGCTCGAGAGATACGAGCGGGCTTATCGTCACACTATATTTCAAACATGACATTTGAGATTTTGCAAAATTTGACAATCTGGTTCTGAAAGGGGGCAGAGTACAGGATTTTCTCTATTTCCTTTGGATTAAAATACATAGTTCTAATGTGTTCATATTTGGGATAAGACGAAATAGTATGTTCGACTGATAGTCCTTACTTGACACATGACTTATAGTTATGGTGAGAGATTCTCCAGCAAGTACATGTGTATAATTTTAGAATTATCAGTTCTAATTCGTGTAATTACAATTTGTTCAAGTCTAGTCATCTTGGGTCCGAGTTGAGTGATAGGAATAAATCGATTGATTTGTGGGTATTACTAGTTTTATAACATCGCCATATTGGTTCTCATTGCTGGATCATCTTCTTATGTATGAACCTTATGACATCTTGCTTGGAATATCCAGCATTAAGTCTTACAGTGTTCATTATAAATCAATTTAATTACTATTTTGTATTAGTTTCATTATTGTGAATTTCGGCCATAATACAGCTGATTAGGTAAAAGAAGAAAAAAATACTGATAAGCTTTCAAGTTTAATCATATGAAGTAGTTCTTTATTTCGAGCCGTCGTTTTGGATTGTTTTATCATATATTTTTAAGTTATGTTTTGGAATTATATTAGTGATGATAGTGGCATCGGTGCAGTTATGGATTATATGTATTATCTTTTCAAGCGCTTCCAGAATTGCATGGTTGAAAATGTTTCTTGACTAGAAATGTTCATAAACCGTAATATCATCAAAGACTTAAAATCCTTCACTATAGTCTCAGATAATATATTATTGCGTCCGTCAATGAAGATATTGTAATTATTTTTGTATTTATCATATGCTTCGCGGTATTTGAGTTTCCATTCGTGTGAGTCAAGGTTGTTATGCTGAATTTCAACCAGAGATTTGTCAATTTCAATTATGTTGATGGTCTAAGGATTTACAGCGAGGATCCTTTGACAATCTATAGAAAGCCTCAAAATTTTGGGGGAGCTGAATAGCGTAGCTACTTTATTATAGAAAGGTGTTGAACACTGTGGATTTCCACTTCTAATTCCAGGAGATACATCATTACGTATTATCTTGTTGAGGAATGTTTTGGCTTTAATTGCATATTTGATTGACAGAGTGTCTTCAAAATGCGAGGTTAATTTCAGTCTCTTCGATGAGGATACCACCCGTTGGGCTTGTGTGAAAGCAACCAGTGCTGAGACCGCAATTGTGCCGATGTTGCTAGTACCAAGGTCCGCCGTCGATTGGGGTGGTAGTTTTTATTTCATATGTAGTTGTAGATTAATTAGTTACAATTTGATCTATTGCGCTTTGTGATTTACATAAATGTAATCCGTGTACGTACATTCACTGTAATATCTAAATTAAAAGAATGAAGTAAATTTATAACCGTCTGTTTTTCGAGGGATTCGCACGTTCTGGCGAACACGGTTAAACTTCTAAGTCGGCAGATCGATATCCAATGAATTTGATTTATTTGGCAAATCTGAGCTGTCGGCGATGGATTTTGAAAAGCTGGTTTCACTTGTACACGAACGAGATGCTCTGTGAAAGACATCGGATTCTAGATATCAAAAGAGGCACATAAGCAGGAAATTTTGAAATGGAATAGCAGAAGAAATGGGCAAAACTTGAACGGAAAAATAATTTTTATTGAGTTTTTAACAAAACTCAGAATTGTTGTTACCCATTTTGACCTATTTTATTCCAGAATAGTTGTGCAGTAACTTTTTGCGGTAATAAAAATATGAATACAAAAAGACAGAATAATATTCATTCAGAGTAGCTTTTTTTTCAATTGGACATAACATAACCTCACTAATGCAATAAAAATGTAAAATTATTTTTACACCAATATCACATGTTCATATGTTTGGAACGATTTGTTCACATTTGTACATGCATTTTTCCCAACAATGAATTATTTCTCTCTCATGAAGTAGTTACAACTTACAATATTTGTACATAGTCATTTTTATTTTTGAAATTTGTAGAGTCCTCTATATCTCGAATGAGAAATGGGCTGAAAATAAAAATTGAAATAGATTTATTATCATATTACACTTAATTTATCTTACAATGAAACAAATTATACAGTTTAAATTTGTCAAATTACTTTACAAGAGTAATAAACATTTCCGATGATTGTACAGTGAGTAACTTACAATGTGAAGTTTTTCGATTCATGATTCAGTTTTTGGCGCAGTTATCGCTTTCAGGCTTCGCCAAACTACCAATTGCAGATATTTTATTCCTGAAGTTCAGAGCGAACTGTAGGACAAGTCTTACTCTTCTGTAATACTCCCTGCGAATTCTCTCTTTCATTCTGTCGTTCGAGAGTTCTAATATTATTTAGTGCCCAAATATTAGTAAATTTTGCCTGGCTCTAGATCTCGAATCACAATGTGCATATCAACATCAATTCTCTGAGTTCTTTGTCTCTCTCAATATCAATGACCTCTGATATAAACTTTGTCTCTCTCATTGTCGACAGATACCATTTGGGAGAGAATCGTATCTTACCCAACACTAAGATCTATGTAAAGTAAAAGTGATAATGGCCTGTCATCGCCATGGAGCTTACATCCAGTAGCAGTACGCGACAATTGTCTTCATAGTGGAATAAGGGAAGGCCTACACGCGACACTTAAATTGGGTTTTCGTTTTGTTGTTATTATTATTATTATTATTATTATTATTATTATTATTATTATTATTATTATTATTATTCGCTGTACTGACGAATACAGACGGAATGTAATTCACTCCAATTGCAATGAGATTCCTTAGGAAGATTATATTACCTAGGCAATCCGGGACGAGCCGCGTCACTGACATGGTGGCTAACGTTTCGGCCAGCGGATAGTGGCCTTCCTCAGCGCCTACTGCTGAAGCGTAACCATTCTCAATTCAGCAAGAAAGAAAGTGCTGTTGTAGGTCGTCTTAGTTACTCTGATTCATGAAGGATACGAACATTTTGTTTGCAGTGGCCCAAGCTATATTATACATAATTTGTCCAGATATTTAATTCGGACAATATGCACCTAAATTGGTTTTACCCAATTTACCCAATCCCACTTTTCGTTACATTCAGCATTTAGTATTCTCATTATACTATATTGTAGCAAAATGTGGCGTTGCCGACGCTGTAAACTGTTTTCAAATTACTTTCATGTGTTGAAAATGTATTTCAAGCTTCATTTCTTTCATTCTCAGCTTTGTTCAAATGTTCTTCAGTATCTGGCATCGATCTTACCAATGAATCGTAGTAGATTATATGGTTATACTCTCGTTCAAAAGTTCCCAACCCCCCAATGGCCTTGTATGTTATCTCCATACGGAATATGTACTAGTCTTATTGCAATTTTAAAATTATAATCGCCGTAACAAATCACTGGTTTTTATGCTAGCAGGTTTTTATGCTAATAGTGAAACCTTAGTACAGCAACATTTTTACGCTTTTTGGTAAATATGCACAAAGATGCACATAGCAAAAATACAGATCATTCCCAATAAATTCCGAAAATTCTATTGCAACATCTATTACAACTACATTCGATGTTTTTCCAGATTTCCTTACAACTTCCATATTTTTCTCCCCTAATTTTGGAAGAGATTAAAACTTCACAAACTCGGTCTAATTTGTGTTCGCTTCTACTCCTGCAATTGCTTTATTACTCGTTTTGTATGCGAATATAACATTAAAAGGTGGCTATTTTGTATGTTTATGTGAATAAGGTGTTAGTTAATTTGAATAAGAATAAGTTGTTTGTCACATTCCTTTTAAAAATTGGTATTTGCACACTTATGTAAGAACGTAAAAGTTCTTAATCGCACATAACGTTCATTCTCTAGCACTACTCAGTTTTGATTTTTCCAAATTCACTAGAAAATCTTAAAGTTTAAGAAGTTCCAAGACAATTCTGTTCGTAGGTTTTTTCAAATTTATTTTTTTAAACACGATAAAACTTCGTCTTTAATTTGAAACCGAACTGCAGCGCGATTTACTTGGTAATTCAATAGTTCACTTAAAGATGTCAACATCTGTTTTGTCAACGTCGTGAAATCAAAATATGACATATTAAGCAAACAAAGACTGAGATCTGGTATTTAATCAACACAACCTACATTGATCGATTGATGAGGCGTTGGATGAATTTTTGGCATTATCACTAAGATAGCAGCGCAAAAACACGAAAAACACGTTTTTGGAAATTCATTTAAATCTTCTAGCGGGATCCGAACACGAATTACCAATTCCCCATCAGGAGACCGAGACGCACCACCAGTGACGGAATAGCAAAAGTACACATCTGCATATCCGCACACTCAAGAATTTTACCGATGTACTGTATATTGATTCGTATTACACTATGTACTAGATTGTAATGTAAATAATATCAATTATGCTGTCAGATACTCACCCATCTCCTCATGCTTCAAGATTATGAAAACACCCACTCCCAGTGCTCCGGGGCATGTTAAGCAGATTAGGAGTATATTAGCTAATTTAAAGTCTTGTAATGTAATAACGTAGAATAATACAAATAATAAGAAATAGAGAATTGCTGCGCACGTAGCTGCAAAGTTAGCTGAAAAAAGAAGGATATGTACAGTTACCAACAAAATAATAGACATCATTACAATTGTTTAATAACTTAACGAGCAGAGATAACTGATTTTAATACCTTTGAGGTTAACTTTTAATAATTAAAAATGTAAATATTGTCCACAAATACAACAAAGTGACCATTTAACCTATATTAATGAATGCCACCACCACAGCCGAATCTATGTGAGAGAAACAGATTCCGCCTGCGTGCCATTTCGTTAACTGCTTAAAGGACACCAGGGACGAATTTCTGAGGTTTTCCGCTACACGGATGGTGGAAGAGGTGACCGTCATAATGATAATGATAGAGGGGTTTATCAAGGGGATAATTTTTGAAGTGGAATACGTAGAGCAGAGATGTATTGTGAATATTCACATAAGGAATGCAATAATGTACATAGCGCATTGTTTTCGTTATTATAGCATCCAGGATTTTTTAAATTTTATTTCAATATGTACATCTCATCATGGCAAAGTTTCGTACAAACCATTTGAATAATATATTCTTACTCTACATTCGAAGATTACGAAACACGTCCAGCTCATGCAAGCCTAATTCCGAGTAATTCCACACGCAACTGCGTCAATTTGATTAACACTCGATTCAGAGTATTGCCGTTCACGACATCGCCCGGGCGGCTGTAATCTTAGAATGTTCTGGAACGTCCATATACAATTATTTACCCTGGGAAGTTAGCAACTAAATGTATGTTAGAAATTCTACATTTTAAAATACTTTATAATCATGCAATTCATTTTATTGATTCAACGCAAACTACTTCACTTTTAATTTTAATATTACAAGGTAAGACGTTTTCTGATTCATCAATTTAAAAAAGGTTCTGAAACATTTATTGAAGATTAATTACTTCATAAGTTAGCTACGTGATGTATGCAATAAATTCATTAATTTAAAATACTTTACAATTATATAATTTATTTGAATAATTGTTCCCAAACTGTCTAGTTTTCATTCTAAAGATTACAATACAACATGTCTCCTAACTGGTCGAGAGCACGGGACCCGGAAAATTACGCAGAGCCTAATGACACGCCAACTCTTCAGTTGGGCTTGAACTGTCGCGCGACACACTCGCTAGGCTAGACCGCGAGTTCTGAAAACGGGATTCATCCCATTTTACCTCAATGTAGCTCAAAAATTACGCATTTTTCGTAAAAGTTGACTTTATATGAAATGAAAGATGATACAACTGCCTGCATTTTAGGACTTAGAGGCTTTTTGGCTGAAAAAAAGTTGCACATAAAAATGGATAAATGAGATTTTATTACTCTCAGCATTGTCTATTATATTATTTTTTGATGATAAAATTGCCTACATCGTATGTCAAGTTTTTTTCTCTCCGATTTGCCTTTTAGCCGCTAGAGTAATAAACTATGAATTTTCTTTAATACTGACTGTACCTAGGAGGACGTGAATGTACACTGTTACGCTTTTTTCTTTGTACAACGGTTGAGGCACAAGAGAGCTACGGAACTATGTTAGCTTGGGTACTTTTCTCTCGGCATTTACATTCTGGACTTTTGGCGCCTAACATAACTATTCTTTCCGCACAGATATAGATGTATAGGCCTTAAGTATTAAGTAGGGCCAACATTATTCTTGTCCCGCACGACTCAGCTACTATGAGCCGCGCAATCGATTTCCTTTAATAGCTCTCATTGAAAGGCCCTTCAATGCCAACTAGATCACGGTCTATCAGCCCGGAAAATCTTATATTGACTCCGGCAGTGAAAGACTACGATTCTACAGCATACACTTTTGGATACATTGAAGTGACAGTCCTCAACGAAGCAGGAGCTTGTAATGATTATGGATGAGCAATAATTTGCGTGGAGTCAGTGGTTGATTTAATTGCAGCTGAAGCTTAGTACCACATCACGTGTTTGAAAGCTACTAATAGTCGACCAAAGGTCGAAGAACAGGACATAGAGAACATGGAAAATATGGAGACAAAATTCTGTTGACAAGCAACAAGACGAAAAAAATGGTGTATCAACAAAAAAATGGCGTAACAAGAATACACGAGAGACGATATTTTACAAACACTAACACATGGTATCAACAAAAAAGTAAATCTGCGCATGAGGAAAGGCTTCGAGTTGTTGAAGCGGCAGCAGTTTCTCCAAACTGACCAAACCCGAACCTTGTTGACACAATAAAAGAATTCAAGAACTCCAATGTGTCTCAGAAAATAGTTGCTGATGCTGATGAACGTTTTCTTGTTTGATTATACGGTTACAGTGGGAATAAACCGCCATCACTCAGCAAATTGAGATACGTTTCTTTACATGAAATCTGCCTCAGGTACAAGCCAAACATTGCTGCAGTACCACCGTCTGAAAGTTCAGCCCGAACAGTCTACCATGAGGAGCAGCAATGGGTAAGCATCAAAAAATCTTTAAATGGGGATAAAAACTAAATATGACCTAGTACCTGTGACAACGTAACCACACGCTTCATTGAAATTTGCTTTATATCTTTATAGCAAATGCACCAAAAACTGCCAGAAAAATTGCGGCGACGAGGCTTAAATGCTCCAACTTGTGACTTGTGATAATACGACAGTGGTTTCTGAAAACGACCTAAAGAACAAACTATAATTGGAGAACGACATGACGAAAGATTTCACAACCCATGGAACTAACGAAGCAGAGGAAGTAGGGCAGGACATTCCACAATATACTAGTATTATTTAAAACAAATCCTTAAGAAATAATACAATATACAACCCCGAAAGTAATAAAATCCCATTTCTCTTTCTACCATTTAACTAGAGCTCCGCCATGCTTCAGTTATTTTCACTTTGGTGGAATTGTTGGTGGATAGAGGACCTCCCTCATGTTCTATTTTAATTGCACACTTTTAGGAACGTCTTGGTACAGTAGGCTTCTCTGCAATGTTAATCTATTTATTTGTTGCATTTTAATTTCATGTAAGCTACATTGCAACTCTACATTCGCTTTTTTTATTATTATTATTTTTTATTTTATGTTATGTTGCGTCTTCAATTCTCGCAACGCGTCTCCAAGCCCCAGGGGGCGTTGAAGCGCTTTTAATCTCATCTGTGCTTGAAAACCGACGGTTCTTTAAGGTTCTTTTTAATTTGGGGAAAAGAAAATATTCGCACGAGGCCATATCTGGCGAATATGTAGGATGTGGCATCATTACAACGTTGTTTCTCGCCAAAAATTCACGTACAAGCAAACACGTGTGAGCAAGTGCAACATCGTGATGCAGAAGCCATGAATGGTTTTGCCAGAAATTCGGGCGTTTTTTTCGGATTGCTTTCCACAAACGGCGTTGAACTTGTAGGTAGAACTCCTTATTAATCGTTTGATGGTTTGGCAAGAACAGCACAATGCTGTTGAAATCGAAGGAAAGTGTGAACATAACCTTCACATTCGACTGCACCTGCCGAGCTTTTTTCCGTCTTGGCGATCCAGAATGCCTCCACTGGGACGACTGGACCTTAAGTTTTGACGTCGTACCCGTACACCCATGTTTTGTTTCCTGTTCTGACACGTTTTAGTAGTTCTGCATCGTTGTTGACTTCTTTTAGCGACTCCTGAGCAACTTCCATTCGCCGCTGTTTATGTTCGAAATTCAACACCTTTGGCATTGGCACAAATTTTACTGTCACACGTTTTAAACCCAAAACATCCGAAACATTTTTCATGACATGAACCAATTGATATGCCAACATCTTCAGAAACTTCCCTAACTACAATTCGGCGATTTTTCATAATTATTTCTTGCACCTTTCCCACATTTCCAGATGTTGATATGCTGAGGCGTCCAGAACGCTCGTCGTCTTCCAAGTCTTCACTGGAACCGCTTGTACCGCTTCTTGGAACCGCTTGTACCAGTCATAAACCTTTGTTTTGGTCATAGCAGACTCACCAAATGCAATTTTCACCATTTCTCGAACGTTGTTACATTTTATTCCGTTTTTATGGCAACATTTAATGCAAATTTTTAATCCATTTTTTTTCTAACCAAAAATCGCCACTCATAAGCAAACAAACGTAATCTTCTTCGCAACAAACAACAGACTAACCATCCAACAATGGAACTAGTGTGCAGATGCATTTCAGACATGTTTACCAACATATCAAAAAACAATCGTGCGAACCAGTTTAATACCACCCGAGCAATAACGAAATTCCCGTTTCTTTTCAACACACTTCGTATATCTTTAAACGTAATGAATTAAGCTATAATTCAATTCGCACTTAGCGCATTTGTATCGACTGATGGGTTACTTGGTATTACAATGCGATCAATTATTGTGAGAAAGGTTTCGTTTTCAATAAAGTAATTAAATTTCGTACATGACTGATTAATGTGATTCATGTGTAATACCAATTGTTTATGTTCCATCAGCGATTTTTGTACTCGTGTAAATTATTGCCTCCTTTCCAGAAATTGTAAATATATCATGTCAAACTTGTAAAATTGTCAAGACATGTGCCACATCTTTAATTTATTAAGTTAATTTCATTTGTATTATTGCAGTTTCAGTTCTGTGTTCATCAGGTAATTACAAGGTTTATAAATTAAATATTTCTTTTGAAAGAACTATATTGGTTTGATTTAAATGGTGTATGTATTTTATTTAACACTTTGATATTCCATTTAATTTTCCTAACATTTGCAATTTCACAGTTAATAGTCAGGAAAGAGACTAGCTAATACTTAACAGTCCAAAAATAAATTAATGTTTTTGTGTTTTTTTAATGCTACGCTGCCTAGGTCTCTTTCTCAAATCTTCTTGAAAAGTATGGGAGAGATATTGGTTTTATCAGTAACACCTTGTATTTTTCAAGGATTTACAGATATGGCGCGAGAGTATATACGTCCCTTCGGATTCCATAAATACAGGAGTTACTCATTCTACAAGGCCAATTATTTGTTCTCAAGCCTTTTCAAGCATGACAAACAAACTAGACGCGAGATAAAATGGCTGGAAATAGCTATTTTCTCGCTTAGGCCAGAAGCTCAAAAAGTAACCGTTTTCAGAGCGTTCTAGCGCATAATCCGGTTTACAGAAATTTGACGTTAAATCTATGCGTTTTGAAGGAACTTTTATAGACTAATTTTGTAAATAATTCTTTCGGAAAAATGCGTAGTTTTGAAGATGAAAGCGAAAAAACTAAAATCAGTTTTTCTCTGTGAAATCGAGCTTTTTTGAGGTGGCAAACATCAAATTCTACCTAAGCTACCTTGTGTTTCGTTTACAAACACGTTTGTATGCTGTTTGTTCTAAGACCGTAAAATCGTAAAGTTCGTTAAGTTCATAAAACAAATATCATGACAATAAACATGCAGTCGTGAAGTAAATGCACTTACCGTTTGAAAATAGTGTAGATAACATGAAGGAGAAGAACGTGAGAGCAGCTGCGAAGAACACAAGGAATAGGTATACCACAAAAGGAGAACTGTATTTAAGTATGGCTCCATTTCTTGTTGGGATCTTTAAAATCAACACAACCAACAACATTGTGATGAGCAACAAACTCATTGTCTTTATGAACCAGGCGATCCAGTGAAGCGATGTAGGAACACCAATTATTTTCAGTATCTCCTGCGGAAAAGAAACGCCAATTATTATATCCGCACGTTTTCTTAAGCCCTGGAATATCTACCCCCACTTCTTTCACAACATTAGTTGGAATATATTAGCTATGGAATAGTCCATTTATCTGAAAACATACTTCTTAATTTAAGGCATAATATTCAGTGTTTACAGATAGATTTCTGTGATCCAGGGTACAACAGTGCACTTCTGCCTATAGCCTCCAGAGGCACACAATGGGAAGAAATACAAGCATGTTTAATCATTCCTTTTGCAACATGTCGGTATGGTTTATGTGCATGAAAACATACGAGTCATAGACTAAGGAGTTATAGACGACTCACTGCGAGCAGTGGAGAGGGAACCCAGAAGTGCCCCATTCAGAGATGACGCCAACGTCATATCTTAGTTTCGAAAAAAGCGGTGCCCGAGTAGAGCGTGCACAACTCCCATTTGCTCCCACTACCGATTCACCCACCTAGTACTCAGTGGAGGCATTTTCAAATTATTGAAACCATCACTACGCAAACTTCTGTCTTTAACTAAAATTTTATTTGTCTACTTTGTCAAGTCTTCGTCAAGGAAAGTCTTTTATTGCACAATTTCTACAGGAGTGCTTGCCTACTCAATGCTCTGCGACGTCACAAAAATCTGCTCTCCTACTCCAAACCGAACGGCCGAGCAAACCCGACGCGCTGCCGGGCGTACAATATTGCAATGATTGTATGGAAAAAGGGGAAAAAGGTTCGCTCGATAATTACGGTTTAAGTGGTATTTATTATTTAAATGTTCATTATTAAATAAAGACATTAAAAAATTAAAAAATAAAACCTAGATTATTTCATAAAACAAAGCAATAGTCGACTCTATCGTAACCAGTACTGCAATTCCAGTTCCATTCTTCTAACACATAACATTATTGGAGAAGACTGTTTTAACATTCTAATTCAATATTTTATACAATGTTATGTAATATAACCATTTTCGTTCGTTCCCCACGAATAACACACACACTCACAAAATAAAAATGTCTGACTTAAAAGACTTTATACATGTTTCGTAATGTAGGTCAATGCGCTGAATCCGAATCTGAAGCCAGAATTGCGCCAACACCTTCTAGAACCATCCTTCCATCACCTTCCAGTTTTTCAAAATCGTGCAAAACTATCGCAAAATACTTTTTTTTTATTTTCGGGATTTGTTGTCAGACCCAAAGACTTAAAACATGTTTCTCTATGCGTACTGATACGTTGAATCCAAATCCGAAGTCAGAAATGCGCCATGGCTCTCTGGAATGTTTTTAAATTGCGAAAAAATCATGCAAATACTATATGGGTGTCTTGAAGCATTATAATCTATATAAGCCGAAAATTGTCAGGCCCAAGACTTGACACATATTTCTTATCTAGGTCGACGTCAGTACGCATAGAGCAACAAATGTCAAGCTGTATTCGAATTCGAAACCAGAATTCCGACACCACCTTCCAGTTTTTTTTAATTGCAAAAACACAGCGAAAATTATAATTTACAATATAATGATGGTTTGTCGCGATTAAAAAAACGGAGGATGGTGGCGCAATTCTGGCTTTAAATTTGTATTCAGCGCATTGACATCCGTAGAGAAACATGCGTCAAATCTTCGGGTCTTTTTTTTGGGGGGGGGGCTGTGTGATTAATATTAACTAAGGGAGATTACCCGGGAGGGGTCACGCGAGAGAATATGGACTCCAGACTTTATTATTTCTTGGAATTTTGAGAATGTTGTAAATCCTCGTGATTTACAGTACATTTTCCATAATCTATCTGCAAAATCCTTTTCTCATCTCATGATTGCACGCCATCTGTAAATTCTCAGAAATTATTTTCATCTGGCAGGTTTCTATAAGTTGCGAAGCTGTGTAATGCCTCTGTCGGTTGAACTCTTTAACATAGTGCATGTCTTTCAAACACATTTAACCTTTGCCTTTTAATTTAGCCATTGTTATCTACAAAAATAAACTTTTTTTCCCAAAAGCAAAAGAAAATAAACGGGCATAGATGGGCTCTCATGTTCTATAAAATACCAGGAAAGGTCCACTGGCACTTCCTAGGTTTTCGCCACCGGCGGCAGCCGTCTACTCCTGTCTCCCTCCCCCTTTGCTTGCACCGCTTCTCCGGCAAGGCATCCGCGGAAGGAAGCGGAGCTCCGAAGTAATTTCTCCGTCAGTTGTCAAACGCTGGTCCATAGTATCACATATTGTACCTCTTGCTCAATACACAAAACAGCCAGATTGTGAAGCCTTAAAGCATCGCTCACAGACTTCTCTGAAGAGACTTATCGGTACTGAAATTTAATTTTCAGGTGTTATACTACAATCTTGAACTCAATTTTTTTATTTGATAGAAGTCAATCTCGCTTAATATTAGTTATAAACAATAGAAGCACCAAATCAAATACGGGGAATCCTACAAGTCAGAACAGACGGGGTTGCTAATGAGTAAGATGTCATTATTATACTACATTCACTTTAAAATGTCGTCACAGGATAAGTAATGAAAGATTACATGCTCATTTAATCGGCCCGAATCTTAAGTGCGACAAATATATAAAATGAAATGGTTCAAACTTTTACAAGATATTACTTATTGTGAAATTTTGCTGCCCCCTTAAAGTGCCCCATGGGGTACATTGTGGCCCCATCGTCAGGCGTAAACTGTAAAACATAAAAATGTCACATATAAAAACAAAAAGATAAACAAGAAAATGTTCGATTTATAATTTAAAATAATAATAATAATAATAATAATAATGTGTTGGTATTGTCAGTTTTCAAAATTTCACATGGTCAAATTCAATTCTATTCACTTTCTTGCAATATTAAACGATTTAACACCCCCTCTCTTTCTTTCTTTCTTTCTTTTCTTTCTTTCTTTCTTTCAGTTTTATAAAATATTAATATATTTTCTAATTTTTTTTA